GTTTGTAGCGATCAGCTGTAACGGTTTCATTTGGACCCAAGAGTTCATAATACAGCACACCTTCCTGGACCCACCAAACGCACAGCAAGGTTTTATGCCCGTGAATATTCGGCGTTGAAGCAGATGGTTGGCCGGGGTCCACCCATGATTTTTTCCGCTTGGAATTATCAAAATAAATCCATTTTTCATCGCCAGTCACGATGCGCCACAAAAAACTCTTTTATCTTTACCTGGCAAGCAAAGAAGTCGCAATAGGCAAACGATTCGAAATGGCAATTTCTGACAACTCATGTGGTAGCCATCTCCCTTGCTTATGGATCTTTCCCATGGCATGCAAGCGTTTTGAGACGGTCTTTGGAGTAACATTTAACTGTTTCGATAACTCTAAAAACGTTTGAGCAGGATTCTCATCAAGCAATTCTTGCAGCTCGACATCTTCAAATTTTTTCGGCTGTCTTGGACATTCTTTTTCTCTCACATCAAAATCACCGTTTCGGAAGCGTTCAAACCAAACTCTACATGTTCTTTCCGATGGAATTTCATCACCATGCATTTCGGATAATAAGCGATGCGTTTCAGCTGCGGTTTTGTTGAGGTCGAAGTAATGAAGAAACACACGTCGAAAAAGCAGCTTATCGCGATTCATTTTCAATCGATTGGAAAATCTCTTTGGCGTCGAGAAATCTAACCTGTGAGGATTGAATCACTTTCAGCGATGTCTAAACTACAAAAGACATATGACTTCATCGTTGAAACTCGCCAGCGTTGGAGCCAGTACCCTCTAGTAGCGAGCGATAGGAATTAAGTTGAACACCTAATAAAAAGAATTTTAGATGTTAATATTGCATCCTGTGGCTTAACAAGACTTAAAGACAAGAGAATGATCAAATTATAATTTGAAATTTTGTACGCAAATATCTTGATAACCAGTAGATATCGTGTTAAAGAAGAATTAACTTCAACGTAATTCGTTTTGATAAGCGCGCGCGCACGCACGCACGCACGTGGATCAGACCTCATCACACATCGTGCACGTTTATTCACTATATCATTGACTACGTTTACACGCACTGGTAAAACCGTTTTAGTTAAAACCGGTTGTTAATGCCAGTTTACAAGATTAGGCGTATTTTATCCCCAGCAAAAGTAAAATAGCTTTATAAAACCTGATACGGAATCTGAGATGAAATATCCTTTGTCATTTCTTAACCTTAAAGTCCAAAGTTGGTAATATCGAATTTTGATACGTACAATCAATTGAATACCGTTTCACGGCTTCCTTAAAACGGTTTAGTAACGTCAAACCTGTTTCAGAAGAGGTTTGGATTTACTAAAACGGTTTTAATAAGATCAGTATTAAGGAACGTTTACAGGACATCTAACACCGGTTTTAACTAAAACGGTTTTTACTAAAACGGTCTTATCAGTGCGTATAAACGTAGTCATTAATTTTTCCAATGTCTTTTTTCATTCCAGCCTCCATTTTTGGTCCGCCATTTTGAATTTTCAAAAACGCCATACGGCATCGAAAAATAGATATTTCAAGGAAAATTTTAAGACCAAAAAAAGAATTTTATCTAAAATATTGAAATGGGCAGAGGGCTGGTCGATTTAACGGAGAACGCCTCATATATATATATATATATATATATATAATCTTTTATAGATCGTTGATGTATTAGATCAAGTGGGGACATTAGCAAAATTTGTGCTTATATTCTTATCGACATTATTTGCTTTGATGATCATATGTTACTCTGGTCAGAGAATAATGGATGAAAGTCAGAATGTATCTCATGGAGCGTAATAACTATTTTATAAAATTATTTTATATCTTCATAAACGTATTGTAGATTTTTTCAATCTTATTTTAAGCACAATTATGAAGTAATATTTTTTTTATGGGCACGGTATAAGATTTTTGGTTAATATTGACAAAAGGGGATCTAACTGCGATAACCTTGACTTTGACGTATGTTGTCAACGTGATGAACCCAAGTGACTTTCAATAGGTTTAAGTTGATGATCGTTCTTCGCTTAAAAGTTATCAATGAAAAATGTTTACCGCTCTATAGAACAAAACGAAGTCCATAATTTTACTGTTTCACATAGGTCTTCGACTTTCCATGTGAAGCAATTTCCGCCTCACCTCTCCTGCCACGAGGCGTACGACTTTCCACGCGAAGCGAGGCTCATTACATCTCTCCTTCTGCCTCGAAATTAAATTATTAGTATTATAATTATTAGTATTATAGCAGAAATGAGACATTATTTTTTAAACTTTGCTTGTTAATTATTTTTAAACGAAAGACGACTACCAATTAAAACTTGTTGAAGGTCACTTACAGTTATGACAAGATCAAGCTCATCGGAGTTGAATCGCATTTTGTTGATATTTACTGATCTTTTAAATATAAATTTTAATTTAATTTTCATTTAAAATAATTTTCACGTAAATAATTCAGAAATTCGATTAACATATTAGGTATACAACTTTGCTTCCGCCGTTTTTTCCCAAATGAGAAGCTTTATTGTAAAAAACTGGTTATACATTTATGATTCAAAGTATTGTCCATCGCTGGCCACTACTTTCTCCAATCTTTCGGGCAGCGTACGAATACAGCGTCGAAAAAACTGGTCATCTTTTGAGGCGAAACAATGAATCGATCCAATTTTTTACTTCTTTATAAGACCGAAAGTGCTGGTCAGCCAGGCCGTGTGCCATTGATCGAAACAAGTGATAGTCAGAGGGAGCAACGTCTGGAGAATACGGCGGGTGGGATAGGACTTCCCATTTGAACGTTTCCAAGTATGTCTTGACTACTTTCGCAACATGGGGTCGAGCATTGTCATGCTGCAAAATCACTTTATCGTGTCTCTCGTTGTATTGCGGCCGTTTGTCTTTCAATGCTCGGCTCAAACGCATCAATTGGATTCGATACCAATCGCCTGTGATTGGTTCAGTCGGTTTTAACAGCTCATAATACACTACGCCGAGCTGGTCCCACCAAATACAGAGCATGACCTTGGAGCCGTGAATATTCGGTTTAGCCGTCGACGTGGAAGCATGGCCGGAAATTCCCCATGATTTCCTGTGCTTGGGGTTATCATAATAAACCCATTTTTCATCCCCAGTTACAATGCGATGTAGAAATCCCTTCTGTCTTTGCCTTTCAAGCAGCTGTTCACAAGCAAACAAACGCCGTTCAACATCTCTCGGCTTCAACTCGTACGGCACCCAATTTTCTTGCTTCTGAATCATTTCTATGGCTTTGAGGCGTTTTGAAATGGCTTGTTGAGTCACTCCCAATGATCGTGCCAATTCTTCTTGATTTTGACACGAG